ATAGGGATGAAAAGGGTGACAACGAAGGCAGAGAGGTGTCGGAGGTAGTTGACGAGGCCGACGACAAAGGCAGGGGGCAGAGGAAGGAGGCGATGAAGGTGAGGTAGAAGGAGAGGGAGCAATAATCACGAAGGTAAGAATTAAGGAATATGAATAAGGATATGAGTGTCTTTTAACATGTGATGTAATCCACATTCATGAGTTTCAAACGTATAATTCTAATGCACATGAGATTATGATTACATATAATTAATGTCATTTCCTTCCCATTATGTATAAACCCAAGTAAACATACACAATAGAATCGATAAATATATATGTAGAGAAGATCAAACCAAACAGGCTATAAAAGTTTATCTGAGTTAGATCTTGATAATGCAAAAAGGATACAACAAATTGCTTGAAGCCCAAAAAGCATTTACAAACATTGTTTTATCATTGAGTTTCACATCAATAATAGGATCCAAAGCTGTATTATAGATAAATTGTTTCTTTATCAACTGGACTAATCCTACTTAATAATATATGTTAATAGTTCTCATCTCTATAAGAAGGAGAACACAAGTTTAAATCCCAAAACACTTCCAGTCCAATAGAGATTAGTTTCAAGTTTAAAGTGATTTAAGAAGACTTTGAGTTCACACAATATATATTTATAGAACTAATAGTTTTTTAACCCGTGAAATGACTTTAACATGATGACACATAATTTGTTGATAGAATTCTTTTAATAACAAAATCTACCTATATAAATCGATATGTGAAATATTAGGCGATAACCAAAACAAAGTGATGCACCACATTATTCACACACTATGAGAAGTGAAACTCAATGCAACACATAGAAAGAAGGTAACATTTATGAATTATTACCTGGCATCCGATTTTTAATATAAGAGCTAGCTGACTAATTTGAGTAGATTAAGGAAACTAGTTAAGTTAGTTATTTGTAATAAATAGTAGTTGTCTTTTCTAAAATATTCTTGTTGATCAAGTGTATTGAATAAAATTATTATTATTACAAAGACTACTAGATAAAGACGAGAAATAAAATAGATTAAACTCTTATATTTATGATCAAAATAAAAGTTAAATGAACTATTATATTAAGAACGGGAGGTAGTAGCACTTATTTTCAATATAAATTACTTATTTATCTTTAATATCGTTTTGCAAGCGAAAAAAATGTAGAAAAACAAGAGTGAATGTCTAGTGATATCGCAGGATTATCGTCATCCTACTCGAGATGGTATTTTATGTACAGTTGAGCAAATGGAAGATATTTTAGGGCAATATCGTGACTAGACTAGCACAATATCGAGCCCCACTTCCATGGCATCAGGCCTGTTGCATCACTTTGATAAAATCATCATCGTCAAAAATTTCAGAACAACCCAGCCTGATAAACCCTATATACCCCACGTTGATATCTCTTTTCTTCACAAACCAGTCGCCTTCCCTAGCTCAAAAAATGGCACTCATCATCAAAAGTCACCTCCTGGTTTTACTATTCCTTCTAGCTCTCATCAACTTCACCTTCACCCAGGCCGCATGGTTTGAGGTCACAAACAGTTGCCCCTACACGGTGTGGGTGGCCGCCATCCCGGCAGGAGGAGGCCGACAGCTGAACCCCGGCGAGAGGTGGGACTTCGGCGTGGGAGGAACCGTCCGTGCTCGCATATGGGGCCGAACCAACTGCAACTTTGACTGGTCGGGACGTGGGCACTGCGGGACCGGTGATTGTGGAGGCCAGCTCGTTTGCCAACTCTCCGGCCAACCGCAGGCCACCCTGGCGGAGTTCGCACTTAACTCATGGAATAATTTGGACTTCTATGATATCTCAGTGGTAGATGGCTTCAATGTTCCGATGGAGTTCAGTCCAACCTCTAATTGCCCTGGCCTCCGATGCTACGGCGATAAGTGCCCTGATGCTTATCTTTACCCAGAGGACAATGCTAAAACTCATAGTTGCCAATCAGGAACCAACTACAGGGCCGTCTTTTGCCCTTAAGATTAGATGTAAGTATTTAAAGTAGTATGTTTTCATATTACTACCTTCAAATAAGGCAGTAAATGTAATGAGATTCATTCTCAGAACATCTGCCCATGTAGGATGTCTTTATTGCTATTGTGGTCGTCTTGTCGTCATAGCTCCTTTGACCCCTCGAGCTTCCACATAAGTAGTATTTTTACGTTAAATTCTCATGCAACCTTTCGGTTATCACTACATGGAGGTCAACTCACATGTTGTGGAAACGGTATGTTTGTAGGTGAGTTGGGTTTTAACCAACCCTAACCTGTCATAATGAGTTGGTGGTAGTACTATCAAGAATATCTGCCCTACATGTGAACTTGTATCATTGAAAATATACTCACTCCATCCCTGTTTATCAGGAGCAATCTCTTTCATATAGTGGTTGTCCTTATGAGAAACAAACCCTTCTTATCTAAAATTTTAAATTTATCTTTTCACTTTTATTTTTATTAGATATATGCCACTTATTATCTATTTGCACTAAATTTTTACTCATTATCTCTTATATACTCGCTTTATAAACAAAGGTATAATTTAAAAAATATATATTTTACATATTTACTGCTTTTAATTAAATTTAACATTTTGAAGATTTTAAAAGTTGTTTCTTATAATAAGGGACGGAAGGAGTAATAAATTCTCAGCTTGAGTAATATAATTGGGGGTTGATGATATATGTGTGTATCCGTAAACTTGGATTGATGTCTTTATTTTTATTGTGATCGTCTTGTCGTCATAGCTTCTTCGACCCCCTTGGGCTTCTACATAAGTAGTATTTTTACGGTAAATTCTCATGCAACCCTTCTGTTATCAGCACGTGGGGTGATAATATAGACCAATTCATGGATTGTGGGTTTGTTCGTGACGAGTTGAATCTATACAGTGCAGGTTGAGGTTCGCTTGTATGAGGGTTGGCTTTTAGCCAACATTGACATGCCTTGGTGGGTTGACTTGGCAACAATTATTTATTTTTTAAATATTTTTTTCTTATTTAATTTAAAAATATATAATGAAATTTTTGTTTTCTTTCCAAATACTTGGTTGAAAGCATCAAATAAATGATATAGATATTTTTTTAGTTTTTTTAAATAAGACGTGACATATAACACTACCTCCGGTACTTAATTAATATAAGATTTCATTTGAATTTTATTTTAGTTTTAAATATAAGACTCTAATCCACTTTGTTTTTCATATTTATATATTTTTTTAAGGTAGTCCTTTAAATAATGGTAGTACTAGCTAATATACTTTATTAGCAAGGATATTTTAAAAAAGACAGTATTTATTTATTACAAATAACTAATTTAACTTATTTTCTTAATATACTCAAATTAATCAACTAGCTCTTATATTTAAAACTATAACTAGTAATATCATTATAATCATTAATAAAATAAAAAAATAAAAAATAAAACGCGAGTTAACTCTCGTGAGCTAACTCATGACAAGTTGCGGGCATGATGGTAGGTTAAAAATGCTTATTTATTCCGAGTAGGATTTTAACCAATTCTAACCCCCTTATCTTCGATGGGTTAGACCTGCAGCTCAATTTTCTTCTTGTATACTAGTTAAGGAAGTGGAGCTGAACAAAAACGGGGGGCGATGGGTGCGAAATGAGGGAGGCAACAAATGGCTGATGAGTGACGGAATACATTATGTCTTAACTTAATCTCAAGTGTCAAGTTTATGTGTTTTATTAAGTTTAATTCTATGTTTTTCCAGTCAATATAATATGTTATGATCAATGGTCAATAGTTATTATATTATAGTTAATAGCTAATATCAAAATTTTCTTAAACTTGTAACAAAATTGTAAACCAAAAATGAAAAGAATGGATAAATGCTAATACCTCCGGTTCTTAACATAATAACCAGACTAATTTGAGTAGATTAAAAAAATTAGTTAAGTTAGTTATTTACAATAAATAAGTATTGTCATTCTTAAAATACTCTTACTAATCATGTGTATTAGTTAGAATTGCCATTTGATGAAATCTTTAACATGTGCAACTACTATAAAGATTACTTTAGAAGAAAATAGATAAATATGAAAGATAAAGTGGATTGGAGTCTTATAATTAAAACCTAGTTAAATATCAAATTAACTCTTATATTAAGGAGCAAAGGTAGTAATCTGTTGTGATTAACACCTAAGTTAATAATTAATTCATTGTTTGTGCAATCAAAGCTTGATAGGCTTCTTATATGAGTTAGATAAATAATTTATAAATATTAAAAAAATTAATTAAATTAGTTATTTGTAATAATAGATGCTGTTTTTTTCTAAAATATTTTATTAATCATGTGTATTTGAAGTACTTTTTGACAATAACTTCTTATGCAATCACTATATAATTACTTGAGAGTAAAATAAATAAATATTAAAGGCTAGATTACATTTTATATTTAAAATTAAATTAAATCTTTGACTGGCACTTATACTTGGGAGGTTATATTTTGTATTATTTTACTAAGATGCTTTAGTGGTTTAACTAACTGTTAAGATCTGGTAAAAAAAAAAAAAAAAACCAACTGCAAAGAAGTGCGTGGCAGCTGGTGCTAAGTTTGGCCTCGGACTGATTTGGCATTTGTTAAATAGTGGGGATTGATTTGGGGCTTACGCATTTTAAAAAGAGAGATTTCTCTCTCTCTCTCTCTCTCTCTCTCTCTCTCTCTCATCACAATTCGTTTCAGAGTTTCAAAGGCATAATCTAATTATTTCGAATCTTAGCTATCCTCTTTCAATATAAAAGCTAATTGACTAATTTGAATAGATTAAGAAAATAGTTATATTAGTTATTTACAATAAATAAGTGTTATTTTTCCTAAAATATCCTTACTAATAAAGTGTATTGACTAAAACTACTATTATTACATGGACTACCTTAGGAAAAATTGGATAAATATGAAAGACAAAGTAGATTATAGTCTTATATTTATAACCGAAAATAGTACCCCGTTATTAAAGAACTTACTTTTAAATTAACCAAATCCAAAGAACATTCCTAACTATAATAAAGGAGGAGTCAAAAAAGAGCGCACCACGGTGGCCATACGCAACAAAATTAAAAATTGAATACATCAGATCATCCAATTCAGAAATTACTAGGTTCGGACTACTGAGCATACACTGGACAACCCCAAGTGTTAGCTAAGATTTCCTCCAAATGCTCTCAACCTCTTTATTCACTCACAGTTCAAGCTGTATGAGGAGCTGAAGACCAAAGATCCCCTTCTGGGTAAATTGCAGCCTACGCAGGTATACAAGAAGCAAAAGCATTTTCAGCACCAAGCTCGCAAGCCTCGCAAGAATTGAAGCACCAAAACTATGATGCTCCTACAAATTTGTCCAGAGCAGATGTGTCTAAGCCTGCAAACTCCTTTACAGCTGCAGCCACAGAGAGTCCAAGCTTTACAGCGTCATCATTGCTTGGTGCCTAGATGATAATTCCGAATTAGCTGCAATGTTTCAGTACAGCGCATAACTGCTCAAGCATAGGCTTAAGAACCCTTTACCTCAATGTTAAGGGGAAGGACAGGGTCATGGAGTGAGAGCCTGAGAAGGAACCATCCGCCATAGCCAGAAACTCGGACCTAATTCATAACCAGAATGAGGGGGGACAAGATGAAATTATATTGAAAACATGAGAATACATAAACCAATTAGAGTAGGTAAGCTATTTTTATACTGGATTTGTATTTCATGGTTTCCCATTTCGATATTGAGATGCCTTTTTCATAAACGCTTTGCAAAAATTCATTTTAATTACTGCCAACAGATTCAAATCTATCTGCAAATGAGGTCAAGCATACCCCTTCATAGTTTACAGGTGCCTTTTGTAGCTTTGGATCTGCGCTAATTGAGTTCTCCAAGTGCTTCAGCACAGCTTCTCCATAATCCCGAAATGATCTGAAAACTCTGGCTTCTAAGTGAGTTCACAACATCAGAATACAGGTGCACGCGAACAGAGTCTATATACAGCAACTTACCCTCCCTTAAGGTCCGGATGATTTTGGTTGATCTTTAGTCTCAGTTCCACAGCACAAGCTGGTTCCTGGAGTCCTTCTATTAAATCAGTCAAAACCTTGCTTCCACCACCCTTTCCGGAAGCTCTTGCCGAGGCAAGTTTGTTTAAGATCTTGACCTGCATATCACAGGACCAACTGTCATTTCTGTCCTAACAAGACATTTTTTCCTTGACTTGGCATGCGATTTGCTATTATAATTCATCAAGTATTCACGTAATTTAGTCCTCTTCAATTTAGTCTTTACAGCCTTGTTTGCTTAAAATGCAATGTGCCAAGGATATATGGAATAAGAATCGAGGCAAATTAATACGTTGAGGGACCAAAATGAGAGCGTACTCAATAGTCAATGATTGACTAGATGACATAGCTTTAATAAAAGCCTACCATGAGGTATGCGCCATCATCAAGCCAGTGATTCTCCTTGAGAGCTCCGTGTCCACTGGTTTCAATTGCCAGATGTGACTCCTCGCCAATTGAATTCTGTCAGAAATATTGCTTCATGAGGCAAATATCTAGCTAATTACATAGAAATCAGAGATCCATGTCAAAGCATGCGGAGATAAAATAAATAAATAAAGAATGACGAATATAAAGAATATAAATTTCTTCTGTGCATAACTTCAGTTTCCGTTTTATCTGCTTGTCAATGAGCAGCAATAACTAGGTAGGATGCATACTAGGATTCATTGTCGAATAAATTCAATTAAAATTTATGACGTTCAAATCTCAAACGATGGTGAAGTATTCTTGATATGTAATTATGAACTATGATAAGATTTGGTTAAATTTATTACTTATTTGGATTTTTATCAGGATTTATTTATATTAGTGAGATTTGGATAAGATTAGTAGATTTATTTATTCAGATTTATGCCTATAAATAAATGCAGCACACGGACCTGATTTGCCTTGCAATAAGATTCATATTTTCGCAGATTATTCTCTTACTCTCAAACCCCTATGTTTTCCCGACATCTCTCTTTTCTCTCTCTTTCATGATCAAATTCCATAACAATTCCGTTCCAACGATAGGGTTGCCTCACATGACAAAAATCATGCATATTATCCATGGAAAAGCCATGATAGAGAACTTCTCATCTCACCAGTCGAATAGCTTCATCAATCACATTTTTGTAGCCCCTCTTGAACCGATGATGTCTCCCACCTTAACAGAAAGTGCAGTTAGCATGTTACTGACACCATTTAAAAGCAAAATTACTTTGAAATTCAAAATGAAGCAAGGACAGGTTTGGATTATTCATTCCATAAGTGTTTTTTTGAAGGCAAAAGTACTTTGAAATTCAAATAACAAAGAATAGGTCCGAGTTATTCTAACACCAAGTCACCAAGGGGGCCGTCAGAGGCTAAAGATCATGCCCAAATTAAATTCGTTCATACCAAGCTTCTTCTCAATAAATGAGGTGAGGCCATCAGACGTCACACTGTCTGTGACAATTGTTGTTCCAGGATGCTAGGGAAAATGATAAAAGGAAAAGAATCAAGTCAGCCAAAATATTTACACAAGTCTCAGATTACAAGTACTGGGGCAGAGATAGCTAAGGGAAAAGGTTATACTTCCTCCAGAACAATAGCTGACATTAAAGCAATCAAGCGATTCCGGTTGAATTCACGGCCAGTGGAGTCCACAGCAGCAGATCTAGATGAAAGTGATAGATGTTGATTTTGTTTTTTAAAAGAATAATAAGCACATGAATGAAACAAATAAGAAAATCTTTACCTGTCAACATCAGTATCAAAGATAATTCCAAGATCAGCTTTATTATCAAGAACCGCCTGTGTTATAGCTTTCATTGCTGTCTTATCTTCTGGGTTAGGGATATGATTTGGAAACAAGCCTGAACACAAAACATTGAGTTAAATTTTGACCACAATACACAGCTCAAATCAATCCCCAAGAGATAGATATTACCATCTGGCTCCAAAAATTGGCTTCCAGTAGTAATTGCACCCAGTGGTTCAAGAACTTTTGCCTGATTAATCATTGATGAAATGTATGAATTTCTTATGTGGATGTTATGCATAAGATAAAAGGAATTTATGTGGATGCTATGCATAAGATTCAAGCTAAGTGGTCATAATGGAGGAAGGCAATGAGAGCCACTTATGACTGCAATGTACCTCCTAAGCTTAAAGGAAGTTTTATTGAATAGCTATAAAGTTAGCAAAGTTATATGGCAGTGGATATTGGGCATTAAAAGGATAACAAGATAAAAAAAATTAAGGTAGTGGAGAAAAGGATGTTGAGATGGATGTACAATCATACAAGAAAAGACAAGGTCCACAATGACTGCTTACAAAGAAAAGTTGGCATGGCATCTATACCAAAAAAGATGGAAAGAAATTGTTTAAGATGGTTTAAACATGTGCAAAGAAGCGTGATAGTCAGGGAGGAAAGTTGAGCAAATAGCTTTTAGCCTTATGAAAAGACGTAGAAGGAGACTGGAAAGAATACCAAAGAAATCTCTTGGTGAAAGGTATATATGAAGAGTTGATTTTTGATAGAGCATAATGATGTAATGTAATCCACATAGCCAACTTCATGTAACAAGATAAGGTTTGTTGTGGTTGTTTTTAGCCCTCCTATTGTTTCGTCTGATTTCAATTTGCCAATCTGAGGCTTAGAAGTAATGCAGTTAGTGCTTCGCAAGAGCAGTGATTGTTGTGATCCAACATTCACCCCTTGTCTTCCTCCCGTCAGATTTCAAAAAAGATTGTGTGTGAATGTCATAGGCACTTCTAAACACTATCAATTTGTCCGTAGAAAACTACATGTTTGTTAATGGTTTAATGAGTATATATTTTGTTCCTTTAGTTTGCAAGTTCATTTTGATGGATCTTTCTGACATAAATGCCTTAATACTCAAAATATTATTTGAAAAAGAACAAGGAGATAATAAAGAGTAAAGACCATTTACCGCAAAAAATCCTCCTGCTCCATTGCCTGCATCCACAACTATGTGGAATCCCTCCAATGGCTTCTCTGTGGATTGATAGTATCATGCGATAGTTAGTGAACAATACATATAGAGAGAAAAAATTGGCAAACCAGAGACGTAGTTACAAAACAATATAAAGAGTCTCTAGAGGCAAAGCGTCTCTTTTCTTATCTCCACTTCATTCAAGAACTTAATATCTATATCTCCTAAATATACTTACTGTCGTGCAGTATTTCAGGGAATTCATACCTATGTTTCCAGCCGCTTTACGAACTGCCTTCACCAAATCAGATGTATACACAGCCATGTAATCAACTTTCTTAATGGATTTTGAAGCCTTTCCCTCCGTATTCATCAAACTCTCTTTTGTAAATTTTGTGTATATGTCTGCAGCTCGGTCTAAGATGTCTGTAATGTCAGCCTTCCCAAGCCCACCAGAGTTTGTGAAAAATTTAAATCCATTCCTGTTGAAAGGCAGATGACTTGCTGTTCATAAACATGCAAATTTATAATTAGCGGATGTAATACTATTAAAAGGTGATGTATACATGAAACTACTTTAGTTACCACAATCCAGATAGAAATTCACTCTAGAATGTCGTTTGCACCACACACACACAGGAGTTAACAGGAAAGTGTCAAATCATGCTTGCAGAGTTTGTATTAAATATTCGACCTAACAGCTTGAGTTCTTGTTATGAATTAAAAGTTTGTCTTACCATAGTTTTTGTAAGTTTTTAAAAGCTTAACTATTTTTCCTTTTCCTTATTTTCCTTTTGGTGTCAGATCCTTGCTTGTAACCGTCAAAACTTCAACAGAAAGGCAGATGCTGTTGGCTGTGCATCTCTACACTTCAAGCCAAAAAAGATTTCAAGCAACAAAGCATGTTAAAGGTTCTTATGGCATTCCTGCGATTCTGTCTGACAACTCAAACTTTTATGTTTGATGGTTCCTAAACAATAGGACAAGATTTCCATTACCTTGTCCAAAGTTTTAAAAAGTAGAAGAAGAGTCATTGAATCAGTGAAATCAAGATGTACCAGTTATCATAATGGACCCATCAACAGGACAACAAACTGCCTCATCCATCGTGAGAGTGCTATTAAACATGGCTGGTGTGGATGCTAACCTACAAAGAGGAGAAAAATAAAATATCAGCTCACTTGGCCATCAATAACGTTGGAAGAAAAATAACAGTATCCATGGTAAGAACATATTCAATGAAAAGCTCATTCGTTGAAACGGAAATAAGCTAGCTAGGTTATGTCCGAGACCTAGAAGCACTGAATAAATCTGTTAAAGCGCACAAATGCTCCACTTTAAATGGCTTTCCATGAAATATCATTGAAGAGATTATTAAAACTCCCATTTTTATAATCAAAAGTAAAAGCAGCTCAATCTATTTTCCATTTCGAAGAAGCTCAGAAGGTAACCAATAATAGCAGATTACCAATCTCATTCACTATTATATGAGTTACTGTAAAACTAACCACTATTAGGAGAATGACCTGGCTTGAATTATTAATTAGGAGTCTTGAATTTTATTACTCAAGGAGCCCCGTTGTTACCTCTTATCCTTACCTTAAGGAATTTATCTTGTAGCCAATATCTGTTGTAACTTCAGCAAAAGTTTCACACAAGTTTAGCAATCCTGTGTAAGATTAAAGAACATACGAGTACTAAATTCAAGGAAAACAGCTATCACCCACCCATACTGGACAACTTCTAGGCCAGCACCAACAAGACCTTGAGAGATCGCATTCTGAAATTGGTTTGATCACCAATGAGTCAGTAACCAGATAAGGATAATATGGTAAGCTATTTATGTACACGCCCTTCCACTTGAAAGTTGTAAGAAAGGTCTCTTCCAAACAAAAGCCATGCATATTAAGAACTGAAATCAAAATCTAATTCGCTAATTTCAATTGAGACAGTGAGTTTCTGTGTGAGCCTGTTTATTCGATTGAGACAGTAAGCTTCTATAGAATCATATTAAATTGTAAGGCCATTTCAAATTTAACATAATCACCAGAGCCTTAAAAGACACAAATGCACAAGATAGAAACCACCACCACAGGATATAAGTAACAAATGTTGACCTGTAAGAATTTTGCAGATATTCGGGAATCATGGCCAACAGAAACTCTCAAGTGCTTAGAGGGATCTGCTTTCTTTTTCTCCACTAACCATCCAGCAAAAGCTGCTCCTATTGCTTCAGCAACAGGTTCGGTGAGGTTAACTGGCTCTCCCTCAACACCATCAATAGCCACACCGCGTATGTCACTGTTTAAGTTTGTATCATATAAACAACATAAGTCTGCAGGAAGCTAGACCCTAGCTGACTACATAAAAGGGGGGACATGATGAGCTTCTGCAGAAAGGAGATTTCTGAAGTAGGACAGGACCAGCGTAAAGGAATCACATCCAAAAAACAAAAAAATGAAGGAAGGAAGCAAGGAAGGAAAAACAAGAAAACTCAAATTCAATGTATCAATTTATCAATAATAATCAAGGCAACTTCTAACAGGCAGCCGATTTACAGGCAATTTAAGGGGAAAAAGGTAATTGAGTCCTAACACAATACTACAATATAGGATGTGTTGGAAGACACCAAAATAAGGCCAAGCCCATTGAGATGGGTTTCTCTAGTTAGTTGTTAATCAGAACATTAATGTGTTTTTATCTTCTATCTTAGTTAGGGAAAGATAATCAGATTGGACAAGATTTGATATCTATCATTTAAATTGTAGATTCTACTTTCTTTTTATTGTAGAAAAACCTACTTCTCCTCCTGTATGTATCGGCCAAATACTATGAATAAAATTTTGAAGCTAAGACCTCAAATGCTCAGCCGAATTCTTCAGGAATCAGGATGCATATACCTAGTAAGTCAAAATGCCTCCATTGAAATCCTTAATTTAATTTGAAGTTGTCCTAATTCTAAATTAGATGCAAATCCCCAAAAAAATTATAATTACATCACGAATTATTAACTCCATCCATATAGCATTAACTTTCCAGTAAAACAGCAATGTCTCTCCGCTACATTATGCAAGAAATTCAATACAAGGAAGGGGAAAAACAATATGAAATAAATTAGAACTCATGGTATTAGAAGTCTTAACAATCCAAACTTAAAATATGCATGTATATATATATGTGGATATATCTTAGTGGAATTTTCCTGACCTTCCATTTTGAAGCTTTAGAAAATCAACTTTGTCTAGGAATGGCACTGCAGAAGTGTAGGCAGAAGCTGCAAAAATGGACCAAATGGAAGAAACAGATATCCATTAGGAAGTAGATTAGATAACCATGACAGATGGTGCATGATACATCATACAACCAATCCTACTAAAAGAGCAAGGACAATGTACGCCCATTCACAGAACAAATATAGATGCATAACAATCATTAAAAGAAGTGCAGGGAAGAGTAGGGACTGGTAAAGAGAAGGAATTATAGTTTGAATGTGTTAAAAGTATAGTTTTTCCCTTGATAGCAACCTGCATAATGAGAGTCTAGAACAGACCATTGCAGTGACTATTTCTCTGGATACTAAAATCATTCTGGTGTTTTGCCAATGCTCGCAATTGCATGGAAGAGGTGCCAATCCATGCCAACTTCCCTTGTTGGGAGGGAAGAAAGATGTTCTTATAAGGGGAAAAATAGTCCCTTCGACTGGGGGTGCTGAACTGCCTATTCTGTTGGCAGCATTGTGATACAAAAACATTTTGGACAATCTTCGCTGCATAAAAATTTACCATTTTTATCAGATTCCAGATCCAGATTCATAAAAGCTTAACCAAAAACCTTTTCTCAGTTCTCACTTGCTATGATTCTATCTCATAAAATTCCTTTAAATTAACTTTCTATATTTTTTGACCACGTGGGTTAGATTGACAACAAGGTCAGGTTGTTAATGGCTCTTTACGGATAAGTAAACCATATAATATTAGAATTTTCATGAAATTTTTAAGCTACACCCACGGCCCCATTTCAAATATTCTTCCATCAATAATCCCTCATCCAATATTACGTCAGTACAGAAATAAGAAAAGCTAATTCACCGGACATCACACCTAATCCAACCCAACTTTTGCCAAAAATTAGTCTTTGGAGCTTTCTTCAACATCCACTCATCGTTTTATCAGAAACACTTGAGCTGAAGCCCAGATTGCATGAGTGTGTCAGAACTAACACGCAAACGCTAATGCTTCGAAACTAGGATATTGCGGCCGACGACAATCCAATAAAGAAATCACTCACTGATATCTTCATTATAGTCAAACTATATCATTTCAACTACAATTACATGAAACCCAAATTTAAACCGATATGGGAAGTAGGTTCCACTGTTACCTGCCATTGGAGGATCGAAATTTGGAATGGTCTTCGATTTCGTCGATGGAGAAACCAAGAGAAGGTGGAAGAAGGGGCAGGTGTGTGCGCGCAGGTGTGTGCGCGCAGGTATATGGAGAAATCGCCAAGTGGTATGTACTGTACACTGCTTGGCTTTTTTTTTTTTTTTTTGGGGGGGGGGGGAATCGTTGTGGATCTTGACAACGCCGCTTCCTTCCGGCCACGTGCTGCGTGCTCTGCTTGCCCATATCATCCAAGTATTCTGGGGAAAAAAAATAATTCCAAGTATTTTTGGAGGAAAAAAATAGAAAAGAAAAGTTATTATAATTTTAAGTTCTTCAAATTTATTTTCATTTTAATTTGAACTACTTGCACGGGAAGAATTTTTTTGATATAAAATTCTTATCATTCCATAACATCAGCATAGCATGATCACAACTGTAAAACCAATAATAGTACTCCTCCAATTTTAAATATAAGACTATTATCTATAGTAGTATAAAGGTCTTAGATTTAGGACCGAAGGAGTATTACAATTCAACTTCTCCACTAAATAACATTATGCTCCTTTTCTTAAAACCAATTCTCATAAAGAAAATTCTACCAATGCATAATAAATAGGAAAACAATTTAATCAATTTAAAAACAAAAATTCTACCACATGACGTTGCTAGTAAAGCATCACCCCCACAATGCACAAGATGAATTTTCTTTTTGCCAAACAAGATGAATTTACTTTTATGTAATCAATAGTTTCATTTCATTCCAATAATCATCACAAAAACATTAAGAAAATGTACTTCCTATTAGATAAGTTAGATAAATTATCTACATCTATATATATATATATATATATATATGCATGTATGAAGAACGAACACTCTAAAAGCCCTGGTTACTTCTACTTTGTACCAATTAAAATATTAGGAAGGATATGATAAAAGTCATCTTCCATATTAAATAATCATTCTGAACCACACAGCAAAAAAATTCTTTAACGAAAATCTTCACATGGCAATATGTTAATATAAACTGATAAAATAATATTATTAAAAAACAATGCATGTTGTTTTTCTTTTAACCCATTGTTTAATGGTGCCTATCCTAATGTTATTTGACACATTCTGCGAAATAAGATAGAAAAATAATTTACTGAACTTATTAAAAAAGGAATAACTCATTTTCAGATCTGCAAATCAAATGGGAATTCTTCAAAATAAGGGGAAAAAAGTGTGATCCTCATCACGGTAATGTTCCTTATATAGGCAAACGACCCTTTTACAATGATAATATATCAACCAATGCGAAAATTCAATCTCCCATTGCTTTCTCGGGCCTGTTTGAGATAGCAGTGAAAATCTCAAGCACGATTCATGTAAGTTGAGACAAAACTTCTATAACATATTTGCCTCGTATTCTATAATGATGATTAAAAAGCTACTTATAAATTAGGAGTGTTCAAATTCTCTCGTCCCGATGGGTCTGTCCTGGTTTTGATGACTCTAGGATGAGACGAGATGGGACAAAAAAATTTTCGGGACGGGACAATTCTGAGATGCGATAGAATATTAGACAGGACGCAGGATGTGGTTTGTAACCCCTTAGCTATAGACTATATTTGAGTTCATTTTATGTCAATTGGAACCACGTTGGACGGCTTACAGTGCAAGAAAACAAATCTGGAATTTTTGCTTTCCTGCTACTGTTCATTTGGTAAATCCAGATTTTTGGGTCAATTTTGAAGATTCATAACTAATTCTAGAAAAATCAAAACAAGATGGTTCCAAGTCACTGAAAGCTTTCAAAGAGATCTACATGAAGAAAATACTTTCAGAGGCTAACTCATTGTGGAACAGTGATAGAACTGTATGGAATTTACACCATTCATATGGTTAAATTGTTTTCCAGATTTAAAACACTGATTTTGAAAAATCACCATAATTTGCACACATCTCCAATCCCGGTGAATTACCCATGGAATTAAAGCTCAAGATGTGTATTTTAAGCATACAAAATCTCATGGCCAAATTCATATAGAAACTACTTCAAAATATTTATCAAATTTACAACTCCATAGGCAACAATATCCAGCATCATTACATACATATATCAAGTTCATGCCATGGAATATAAACCTATGAAGCTATTCTTCCATTATCCTCTTCCCTCTTCGAAGCACCTTTGCCCCTGCTTGAATCATGGTAAATTTGGAAGGAATGAGATTTCATAGAAATCCCAATAGCAAGATAAAATCAACTAAGCATTAACAAGCATCATTATCACACAACTTTACTAAAAGCCATTGTTAGGGAACTAACATTAACTCATACCTTGTGAAACTCTAACATGCAATAGCCAAGGCATAACATTGCAAGGAGCAACTACAAGTCATATGTAAACTTTTATATAGCTCAACTATCCAAAGGCAATAACATAAGTGTAATAACAATGCAATTTTAACAACAAAGTTAATTAAATCTTGCTACCTCAAGTAGAGTAAGCTTTAACTCTCTTCTTGTTCTTGACTCCTTCCTTCACAAATGTCAAAGCCTATCCAACAAGGGGTATAACCATTATATTTCACGTCATAATAAAACTCAATGTTTAAATTGAATAAAACCCTTAACCTCTTTCTCTTTAATTTTTGAGTTTTGTTTCCATCCATCCATAAATTATTTTCTTAGGCCAATCCTACATGATTTTTCACAGAGAATCCAAATATGAGCTCAAAATTATAAAATTCATCTTCCTTCCTCTTGAACCCCTTAGGCCGAAATACTTCCTCTTTTTCACCCAAATTTCCAACAACAACAATATCAACCATAATCACATAATACTACTTGATTCAAGTCATAAACAACCTCTTAAACTAATTCCCATTATCAAAATCATCCTCCACCATTCCTATATAATTTCGGTCAGCAAGAGGGGAAGGAAAAATTATGGATTTTCAACCATAAAACCCAAGATTTCTAAGCATTAAACCAACTAGGATTAACCACTAACCTTGGTTCCAAGTTTGGTTGGTTGATTTCTTGCCTTGTTCTCCTCTTCAAGCTTCAAGTTTTCAATTCTCAAGAGTTTCCCCTATGAGAACCAAAATGTGAGGGAGATGGGAGAGGAAGATGGGATTTTATAAAGGTCTTTGCACAATTTTGCCCTTTACCTTTTTCAAATAGCCAAAATTATGTGATTGGTTGATAATTGATATATATGAAGTCATAATTCCTAAGGGCTTATGTCATGCACATCTTGAAACTTCTCCTTGCTTCTTCCACCTTCCAAGTGGCACCAAGAATAGTTTAGTCAAGAAGGAAGAAGATTTTTCACAATATATGTTGTATAACTTTCTACCGGCATAAGTAACTTTTGTACTGGCAGCACCATAATTGTCCCTGATATTTTTGACCACCTATCCTTATCTTTTATCATTTACTTTTGAGTCACCACCTTTTACTTTTGAGTCATCACCCCTCATAATGACTTTCAAAAGAATAGAAATCCTAGTAAAAAATAGTGGCTAAAACTATTACTTTTCCTTTTGGAAATGCTTTCTAGAGTTTCAAGACTCAAAAAATTTCTCTATCAGTTTTAAAATCTCTCTTTAATTCCAAGGAAATTTCATGAATTTTTTTGGAATTTAACTCCCCTTCTAGATATTTCTTTTTGAATTTCCCGGATAAAAGCCCTAATTGGCTTAAATAAGCTTTAAATATTTTTAAAGCTAATCTGGGGCTAGTTTGAGAATAAAATTACTTCTACAATGTTCTAAAACTTTCAAGGTATTTTATCTATATTTTTTTCAATTTTTCTGAGGCCTTAGAGTACATGAAATAATTAAATTTGACTAATTTTTCCTACTTAGTCAAATAGCGCGAAAATTACTAGAAAATTAATATTAATTAATTTCCTTCATATTTTTGACTTCTGGGACCATCATCTTGTTCCAGAGAATTTCCTCTAATTTCTGGAGTTTTCTAGAAATTTTCAAAGCTTTCTGTCATATTTCTCTAATTTATACTGACTTACTCAAAATACTAAAAATTCCACTTCGGTTCCTATCCTGATTTGATATCAAAAGTTGTACAATCTACATTAACACTAATATTCTGACCCTTAACTATTTTTAGAGTAATTATACCTTAGTCATAAAATGCTAGATGTGACGGGTTGTCCTGTCCCGATCCTGTCTTGGTGTATATAATTTTTTAAAAAAATTGCAAATATAGACAAATTCACGAAAGACCACTGGCAAATGCCCTAATTTTTAACCCCATTCGGCCCCTGTCACTCCTTCGACTCCTTCGACTCCTTTCTTCCCCTCAAGAGCCTCTGTCGTCGCTATTTTCTCCAGCATCCTCGAAGTCATCACTATCTAACAGTCTACCGATAACTCACGGTCTTGCTAGGTGAGATCACAGTTTATTTTATTAGGCCAACACCGTTGCTGTTTAGCCTTACGAGTTTAGGTTCCAATCTCTCTCCTCCTGGGTCAAGATAATTCCTTCTTGTCGCTTCGACGCAAGCTTTCAACTTTCAACCTTGCTTAACTCTCAGCCCATCATTGTCTGTTACTGTTCGTCCGTCACCTCTCACCTCAACCAAAGGTTACACATTGCCATATCATCCCTCTCCTATAACTCGCTTCCTACCAGGTTTCTCTCTTTTCTTGTGTTCTTTCTCTTTCAACTTTGTTCATTTCTCAGCTCTCCATTGTTCTTAGTTCTCACTCATCTTTGTTAGCTTCTCGCACCTATGGGTCTTGCCCTGTTCGTTGTTGGAAAGTTTTCACTCATTTTATCTCTTTTACTTCCATTGTTTTGAACTTATTTTATTTAAAATGGCATGTGCAGAAAATAGGACAAAGCAATGAGAAGATTATGCTCTCTCTTGATTTAAACATTCTTTTATTTTGGGACTTTGTTTTGTAAAGATTAAGCACAAACATGGGTGATTGCAAATTATTGTTGGTCCGATCTAAATGCATTGCCGTTAATTCAATTCTTGCCCTGTTCTCCTCGTGCTAGTTCTGCTCCTCGTGAGACTGCCACGTTGCCGTCTTCTTGCCTTCACTGTGAGCTGTCCCCATTTGATTAGTTGTGATTCTTCTTGCCTTCGCCTGGCTTGAATCAATTAGCGAGAGTCGCAGGTAAATAGGGCTGTTCACGGGACGGATCGGGACCGGGACAGGCCCGTCCCAGTTCCGTCCCAATAAACAGTAATAGGACAGATTTTCTATCCCATGTCCCGGTTCATCCCGGGATTGTCCCGGTCCCGGTCAGAACGGGACATCCCGAAATTTTTTTTTTTAATTTTTTAAAAAAAAATCTGATTTTTTTAATTATATTTTTTTGAGCTTAAATATTATAAAACATTTTTTTATTTTTTTTATTTGTTTGGACACTCTTAAACAAAAGTTCAAAATATTACATATAATAGTCATTAAAAACTCTAAATAAAAGCTTTTAACACAATAAAAACTTGCTAAAAATTCTAATCATCAATAATCTCAAATCATTAACAAATATAAAAACTCTAAATAAATATATCCATAGTTCCATGCAATAGTCTCAAATCTTAAAAAAATATGAAAAAAATGATATTATATAAATAGGATAAACAATTTAAAAAAAAAAAGGAACCGGGACGGGACGACGACCCCATCCCGGTCCTTTTTTTGTCCCGTCCCGGTTTATCCCGTCCTGAAAAATTTTGGAACGGATCCGTCCCATCCCAATAAAACCGGAACCGGAACGGGCCGACCGAGATGGGCCGGCCTTGAACACCCTTACAGGTGACCAAAGACGCATTAAAATTTTAGAGAAATGATCCCTTGTTACAAATTAAAAAATATATGTCCATTTTCAAAGGCCCAATCATAGTTAAAAATTTGGCTCAAAGCAAAAGGCCAAAAAAAAAAACAAAAAGGACACAAAGAATCCTGACTCAAGCCCAATAAAAAGGCTAATTTACGAGGTCTTTATCCCTGTCTCATCTCATGGACACCTCTAGATGGCAGAAGAGGTTCATAGACCTTGCTTTTTTAGTTTGTGCCTCTTCGCTTTCTGGCCTGTCTCTATTTCTTTCAGAGTAGGTCCCATCTCGTTATGCTAGGTTAAAAGTTTGGGGCGCAAAATGTTGAGGATTTCCACTAATCTTCTGGGCTAAATTTCACGGGGCTTTGATCGTTTCCTAGTTTAATTGGGTCAATTACTATCCCTAAGTCTGTTTCTTTATTCAGCTGCCTTTTGTTAATGTGTGTTTTTATCTGTTATACAGTCCATGGCTGAAGAAACTCAGCTGCTGGAATCTGGAAGAAGCCTGAAAAAGAGGCAGTTACTTAAAAGGCATGGTCATAAGAAGTCAAATAAAAAGCCAAAATTGATGCCAGCGCCCCAGGTACAGAAGAAAGTTAAAATGGACAAGAAAATGAAGAAACTTATCCGCAATCGAGCACGGGAGTATAATTCTGATGATGATGATGAGGATAGCAGTGGTATTCAGCCTGGAATTACCAATAATTTAACTGAAGAGGAAGACAAAGAAGGTGATGACTTCTCTGATGATGACGAAGCAAGAGGGCAAGATGCTCGGAACCCAAACTGTGAGTGATATGAATAATGACATTTCAGATGATAAAGGAGAAGATGGGGATATTCAGCCAGGAATAACAAAATTTACAGAAGGTTGTAGAGCGTTCAGGATGGCCTTCAGGAATATTATGAAGAAGAGTGTTTTTGAAGATTCCTTGGCAAGATAGATGCTTGTTCATTGGGAATATACAAAGAATAGATTCCATTGAAGCCATTAACTTAATATGGAGAGAAGGAGGCCCAATATACACATTTTTGCTGGAGAATTCCAACGTATGCATGAAGATTGGGATATTAGATAACACTACGCTCAGTAGAGAAGCATTGAGAAGTTATGTAGATTACCTTGCAAGAAATGGCCATAAGATCTTCCTTACGCAGGATGCACTTGAGTGTTGAGTTTTTGTCCCCTCGTGACTGTTAATTAACTAATTTATTTAATTTTTTTGGCTAAAAAATTGAAAAAGCGTGGTTTTAAAATTTTAATAAAAAGAAGAAGTAATATAAAAAGTAATAAAAATTAATTAAAAGCTTTTAATCCACTTTGTTAATTTTTTAAATTGAACTTATTAAAATTTTTCTTCCCCTTCTCTCTTCTCATTTTCCCTTATGCCAAACAGATCCTAAAGAAATGTGTTAGATGGTCAAGGAATAAAAGAGAATGTCATGTTAAAGAGTAATGTTTTATTCCCCTCTAATATGGTTAAGTGGATGTCTTCTGGATTATAATGTATTAGGAAATTGATGATTGATGATACCACGTGTAAATTGTGATTATAGTAGAGTTTATTAAGATTAACAATTTATAAATTTCCTTCCTCTTTCCTTAGTGTATTAGAACAAAAATTGATGCGGATTCTCATAAAAAGTTAGGAAATAACTTGAAAACAATAAAAATTTGATGATTCCACTAAAAAAAAATAAAAATAAAAATTTGATGATATAAAACTCTTATTTCTAGATCCTTAATTATAAAAGACATCAAATCCTTGCTATCAAGAATACAATCTCATAAGTAAACACTAGCTAAAAAAGACTGTTAGAATGGCTGAACACCCAAGAGGGGGGTGAATTGGGTGTTGATTAAAATTAAAAATCTTTTCGCAATGTAATGAAATTCATAAGAAATTCTGAGTATAAAAAATAATGAATCGAGATAAGCATAATCACAGTAGTAAAATGGTTTAGCGGAAAATATAAAGAGGTAAGGGAAGAGAAGATGCAAACAGTGATTTATCCTGGTTCGGTCCTCACTGACCTACGTCCAGTCCCCAGGCTCTCCCTGAGATTTTCAATCGACTATCTCCCTCAAGTTTAACACGGGTACTTGAGAACCACTACAATCACAAGTTTGATCCGGGCACTTGTGACGCCACTTACAATTCTTAGACTAACCAGTCTAATTCGACAACAACCTCACACCGAGGTAATACTCCCCCTTACTCACCGTAAGGATACAATCTAATAATGATAATGAAGATTGAATATTTCTTCTCTCAAAGAAGTGATAGATGAATCTTAAGCACATTTGGGAAACTCTCCTCTCTATCTTATGGATACATATGTTTTCGTCTATGGAGCACAAAGACAGGGAGTTTTCTTTCGGAGCTCTAAATGAGAATATATTGATTCGGAATTTTAGCATTTGATGTTGTAAGCTCGGACTCTTCTCTCTTTTTCTTGTTCTGAATGCTCTTCTATTTATAGATGATATTGGGTACTTGACCGTTGAGCATTTTCTTCCCGTTGGGCTTGAAGAATATGACCGTTGAAACTAGCCGTTGGAAGCTTCTGATGAACGTCGATTCTTCACATCATAAATTTGTTGTGGCTCTTTACCTGAAATAATCTTCCTCAAATCAAGTGATAAGTATCTGATAATCTTTAAAACAATAAGTTGGAAAACATGGGATCAACCATCAGATCTTCAGATATTCAGAAAGTAAGATAAACTTACTTAATCGATGCCTTGATCGATAATCCTTTGATTGATCATATTATCGATTAATTATATGAAGAAAAGATATAGTAGATATATGCAATTATCGAATAGGTTATGGATCATGTGATGATCGAAGAAATGATCGATAAATGATGAAACATGAACACAGTGAACTTCAAATGAAATATTCAAGGTTAATCCCTTTCAAGTTTTGTTTGCCTTCATATCCTTTTAATAGAGAGTTATGTGTAAGAAGAAGGCTGAGAAAAGCTTAAAGATAAAAAGATATAAAAGATTTTGAAATCATCGTGAAATGCTGTTATGAAATAAACTGGCACAATGATCGAACAAGTGATCGAACACTTGTTGATCGATCAGGTTATCGATAAACAAAGTATTATAGAAACAGATATTAAACCAATAATAATCGAACACATTATCGATAAACAAATAATAGATAACCTTATCGATAAACAATAAGCAAAAGTATATTCGGAGAAAACACATGCTATGTAGGTTGATCGAATAGGTGATCGATTAATGAGTGATCGATAAAGTTATCGATAAAGTAAAACAAGGAGATTTAATCCTGTAAAGTAAAGAAACTGATTATCGATCACGTTATGTGAAAACAGGAGTTTTAGGAAATCGGATGATCGATCATTTTATTGATAAATCAATTATCGATTAGGTGATTGAAAAAATGATTCAACACAAGTTAATGCAGTGAAGATAATAATCGATCATTTGATTGATAAATGTTTGATCGATCAATTGCTCGATAAAAGATTTTGAACGAATGGTTTTGACAGAGCACTATATCGAGTAAGAAGACATGTAATATTCGAACAAGTTACCGATAAAGGTCTGATCGATTAAGTGATCGATTATTTCCTACAACATCTTATATTAAGCAGCTATACCAATGATCGATTAGTTGATCGATCAATCTAGCAAGTTATTGAGCAGACTAAATTATCTATCACGTGATCGATAAAACTTGACAGTTATCGATCAAGTGATTGATAAACATATTCATCTATAACGTTATCCAAAAATCATTTATCCAACATGTTACTGATGAAACCTTAATAATATGTATGAAGATAAAAGAGAAGAATTGAGGAGATAATACCAGTAACTCGATGAGTATGTAGTCGCTTGATCAGGCTCGAGTAACATATGATAATGGCTTTTCATTTTTTCATCTCTTCTAGAGCTTTTACTCAATAACATGTTTGAGTAGCATGTTGCTTGAGAACTTAATCGTTCAGTGTAGAACTTCTGGTCTTTGCCTCAATAAATTCGAAGTCTGATTCCAGCAAAACGAAGATCAACTTTGGGTGATCATAAATCTTCCAATTCAACTCCAAATTTTGCAAATGACCTATCCCCAGAAAGATATTTGAGTCTACTTTCTAATGCAACAAGAATCACCCCAAAATTCATTGTGGTTGCAAAGTTATTTTCATCACAATGACTAAAGGTCGGAATAAAGGCGTTAATCCTTACTGCAATCTTTCGAACAACATATCTCTCTCATATGAAACTCTTTGAAGATGAATTTGGTGTCCATGAACCGTGTTCTGAGTCTAGTTTCATAGGAATCAAGTTTCACCTCAAAAGGATTTGTGATTTGAGAGATATTGAGGAAATACCGAACCTATGTCAGAGTTGAATGAAGAACAGAGCATAATAGAGGATGTATTTTATCGATAACTTGATCGATAAATGGATGATCGATCAAGTGATCGATAATTGCCCATGAAAATCACCTCTGAAGCTTATTTTCCATGTTTATATGAAGGGTGACTCAATATATGATGGTATAATTTCCCGGTTGTATATTTTAGCTTCTGACTGAGCCATCCAAACTTCTGATTGAGTGTAGCAACATTTAACATCAAATCTATGAACTTGAATCTTGATATTTTCATTTGATCTTGCAAGTTCTTCTTTTCTCAATCTCTCTTCTTCTTCTTCCTCTTGATCATTCTCCATAACTCAAAGTGCAACATAATAACTCTTTTCTTTTCTTGAGAAAACTACACAAGATATTAAGTATGATAGTTAGTCAAAATATGAGATAAATAATTTATGTAAACTTTTTGCTCTATTATTTGACATCATCAAAACTAATCATATCTAACAAAGACTTCTTATTCATGAACACTTGCTAAAAAAGACTTCTTATTCATGACTTGATGAATTAATTACTACAAGCCTACAACTGACTCTTTAAATAGATGAAATTTTTAATCTTAATGAGATTGTAAAGATTAAAAAAATATAAATTCTGAAGATATGCTATCTATCTAGATTTTAAATAAAAAATATAGTAACAAGATATTAAAATAATATCCTTGAACTTCCTATTTGGCAACTCATACCCATAATACGTAAAATAACATCTTATATATCTTGTATAAAAAAAAACATCTGATATATCATTTTTCTAACAACCTACTAAATACAAAATGACTATTTTAAATAATAAAATTACTTAGAAAATGAAAATAAAATGGATAATTAGTATTTTATTAAGACTTGTCCCATGAATTCCTAT